GCAAAGTTCTCAGCGGAAGGTTGGACAACCTTCGCAAGGCTCCAAAGACCCTGCCGGCCGGCTTCAAGTTCAGGGCGGTGCTTCATCACGAGGTCGCTGATGGTGCGGCCACGGTGAAGGGGTATAAGAAGCTGGAAGAGATGGTGAGGCGATTCTAGATCCCCAGGACCATCCTGATCCGAGCTGGGACGCCAAATGAACGAGCGTGTTCAGTGTCACGGACAGGCTGGGTGCCAGTATACGTAGACCATTTTGATGCCGGTCTACGCTTTCCTCTGCCCGGACTAATTTTTGACGTCCTGGCAGAGTACGAGCTGGCCCTTTCGCAACTTACTCCCAACAGCATAAAGTTCATCATAGGATTTATGCTGTTGTGCGAAAGGCTGGGGATGCCTGCGAAGGCGGTGGTCTTCAGGTCGCTTTTCCTATGCCGTTTGTGTCCGTCTACCAGCGGGACGAGGTGGTACTACATCTCGGGCAGGGAGAAGATGCTGATCTTTACCAACATCAGAAATAAGGTAGCGAGGTGGAAAAGACAGTTCGTGTTCGTGCGGGATACGCGAACTGACAGGATTAACAACGAGCTCGCAGCCCGTCTGTCAGAGTGGCGCACGCCGAACGCATATATGAACTATCCTTAGTTGACCAGTGGTGATGTCGACCTGAAGAATCGGCTGCTCGACTATGTGAAAGCGAGGGGGCTGGTGGATTTGGAAACCTTGGTTACTCCGGAGCAGATCGCACTCCTCGGATTTGTCGATGTGGCAAATCTACACTCTCAAGGTATATCTTCATATAATAGTATAGTTTCTAGCCGATCTGAGTCTTATGCTTTTGTTTGTGTAGGAGTCATGAGCAGCCTCCTTGAGCGACAACGTCAGCGAGCTCAAGGCTCAAGGGGCCGGGGCGCCGGGTCTAGCTCCCAGCGTCAATCCCGCTTTGAAGAGCGGCCACCTGCTGCACCGGGGCGCAGTTCGTAGCACCGAAGTTCCAGCTCGACGCAGAGGCCGCGTGCCGAGCAGAGGACTGAGCCGGCACCCTCCAGCTCTAGGAGGCGCGCGAGGGAGGAGTCTGACGCAGAGGATGACATTCCACTCATCCGGCGTAGGACAAGTACCAACTCGTAGCCCGCCCCAGCCGCTGCTGCGCGTCCTGTTGGCGTGCATCAAGCGTCAGCTCGCGAGGTTGCAGAGGCCGCCCCCACCTCGTCGTCTGTGGGGGGGCCAAGGATTGCATACCCGGAGGGCTTCAGTTACGCCCGGACAGAGTGCCAAACTGCAATGCTACAGGGTATGCAAAACTTTGTGCCCCCTGCCGATAGGCTGCGCGCAAAGGGGCACGTTCAGCAGCATGGAGGACATGCTGCGCTGATAAAGCTGATGGATGTAAGTATACCTAGCGAGCTCATTACTGCGTTTTACCTTGTTTTTGCTATAAACTGATGAGTGAACATGTGTTGCAGGCGTTCAGCTATACGGTCGCACTCTTCGAGTGTGAGCAGGGGGCCAGGGCGCAGAACCACGAGCTCCAGAAAAGCTGCAAACAACTGGCCACTGAAAAAGCTAGCTTGACTGACGAGGTCAGTCGTTTGCAGAGCTCGGAGATGGCAGACCGAGCAGCATCAGCTGAGAGTCGAGCCGATGAGCTGGCCTGTAAGGTTGACGAGCTGAAGGAGGAGCTCGTGAGGGCCCAAGTGGAGAAGGAAAGCGGCATTCAGGCTGCTAAGGAGGAGCTCGGCCGTGCAGAGGAACGCGCCAAGAAAGCGGAGTTTGACAGGGAGAAGACTCTGCACGAGCTGAGCTCCTTGAAGGAGAGGGTGGTGCAGGCCGACCAGTATGTTGCCCAAGCTGAGGCGTCCCTGGAAAGCACTAAGAGGGCCCACCAGCGTGACGTCTGCTTTGCTCGCGCACAGGGGGCTGAATGGCTGGTGGGGGCAGAGATGTTCCA